GAGGAAAAGCATTGGTACACTTATTTGAGATGCAAGCTGAACGAGAGGTTTATTTTCAAAGAACATCATTTTTACTTGAAAGGATGGTTGACAGATAAATTATGGTTATTCAGATGGGTGTTTGGCAGGTATTTTTTCAAAAAGCAATGAAGCGAGTCCCTCGCTTCGAGAAAATAACTGACAGATTTTTTTTTCCCACCCCAATGGGAAGAATCAAGTTTCCAAACTAAAATTAGCATTCTGGAAACCCTGCATCTGCCAAAACAAGGCTTAAGAGACTTGTATGAGCTTGATGGCTTCCCAGCACTGAGACTTTCTGATGAGATCAGAGGTATTAACAAATGTGATTTATCTGGCATCATATGATGAGATTTATCAAAGTTGAAAGAACAGCATAACTCAGTGAAAGAATACTTTGCAAACGCCAATGCATAATGTTACAACCACGCATGGTTAAAGACCTACTGGAAGGACAAGACAGACCGTTAAATTTTAATGTTAACAAAGTAAGAAAGGTTTATTGATATGGCTCCAGAGTCCACATAGCAACTAATCTTTAAGATACTACCAGTTCCAGGGGTGCCTGGGTGGCTCAGATGGTTAGGCGTCTGCCTTTGGCTCAGGTCATGATCCCAGGGTCCTGGGATCGAGCCCCGCATCGGGCTCCCTGCTCAGCAGCGAGCCTGCTTCTCCCTCTCCCTGTTCCCCCTACTTGTGCCCTCTCGCTCTGTCAAATACATAAAATCTTTAAAAAAAAAAAAAAGATACTACCCTTTCCAACTTGCTATTGTATTAAAGACTACCCACAATTCTCTGAAAAGGCCACTAAAATACTTCTTTTCCAACTGCACATGTGTGCAAAGCTTTTCTTCAAACATGTCAAAATAGCCTATCCCTACAGACTGAATGTAGGATCTGGTAGGAGAATCGAGTGGCCTTCTATGAAGCCAGATGTGGAAGATTTTTTGCCTTCTTTAAACATTAAAAGGTGTCATTGTTCTCACTACATTTATTTTGGAAAATAATTATTTTTCATAAAATGTAACTTATTAAGATGTAATGAGGTTATTTTTAAATTAATAAAAGTTTTGTTTTAGTTTCTAGTATGATTAGTATTAACAGCCATAACTCAGAAAAACAGAAGTTCTTTGGGTTCCTCAATGATTCTTTTTTTTTTTTTTTAAGATTTTATTTATGGGGTGGCGGTGGGGGAGAGAGAGAGAGAGAGAGAGAGCGCACAATCAAGGGGAACGGCAGGCAGAGGGAGAAGCAGGCTTCCCACTGAGCAAGGAGCAAGGAGCCCGATGCGGGACTTGATCCCAGGGCCCTGGAATCATGACCTGAGCTAAGGGCAGCTGCTTAACCAACTGAGCCACCCAGGCATCCCTGGTTCCTCAGTGATTCCGAAGTGTAAAAGAATTCTGAGACCAAAACCTTTGGGATTCACTGCCCTAATCTCTCATCCAGCCTCCAGTCTCAATGACAATTTCCTTAATCGTGACCAACCAGTTTATTTGCATACAGGACTGGCTTCAGGAGGATGTGGAGTGGGTAGCCCCCTGCCAGGTCTGATTTGAATAATGTGGTTACCACTCCATTCCTCCCTAAATATCTTCTCTATTGGCCCGCTCTCCAGGACCTCAAATTTTCCTCAGTGGTATTCTTTTGATGTAAGTCACTTGAACTTCTCTCTTCAAATCCAAATACTTTTAAGTGGTAATATGGTGCTAGTTACCAATCATTAATGCATAAAAATAGTAGCCAAAACTTTTGAGTGCTGGCTATGTCAAGCTTTCTACTAAATGTTCTTTATGTATTATCTCACTGAAGCTTATAAAGAATGAGTGTTCATCATACCCGATTTTTCAATGAAGAAAGTTATAGTTTGGTTTTATGATATTAATCAGCAAGGCATTGAGGAAAAAATGACACCTGCTGTGGGATATCAGGTCCCATACAGGTACATGCTACCAGGAGAAGAAGGGAAAGTCTGCAGCTTAGGTGTAGCCATCCCCAGATGGCTCATGCTAGGCACCTGTCTGCCCGAGGAGGAGTTAGGCACCAAAGGAGAGGAGATTAAGCCCTTTCTACTTTGCTGTTTTAGTCCTGACCCTGGGGGACTTTGTCTCTTTGTGCTCCACAAAACTCCCTCCTTGGCCCACTCTGAAATCTTACAGTCCCTTTCCACTCCCTATGTGTACCTAAGCATCAGAACTTAAAAAAAAAAGCCATACAAAATGAACATTAAAAAAATAAATTTATTTCAGGTCTGAAACACTGAAGGACAAGCATACCGACCAATAGTACAAAAAGCAAAAATTAGAACATGAAAGATGACTTAATACAGACAGGCATTCTTCTGGCAATACTCTGAGTTTATACACAAACATATTTTTAAAGACATTGCTCCAACATTCACAAAAGGCAAAAGCTAGTGTTTGTTTGTTTTGCTACATTTATAAATGCAACAGCTTTTGAAAGCACCCAATTTCTTTCTAAAAGCACTTCATTAAAACTTACACAAGTGTTGGTTACCCAACTCCATTTTCCAAAGATAAGACAGAATTATATGACATTCTTGCTTGACATGTTACAACTTTAACTCAAAATATAGAAAAAATTATCAATCCATTTTGTGTTTTGGAACATCATATTTCATCCTTTTTCTAATCAACAAAGAAAGACACACATCACATATGCATATGCTGATTTTCAGAAACAAAGGAGCCCAACTTTTATCTGTAATTTTTTTCAAAAGCTCAGGAACTCAATAAGTATGTGATTATTTTAAACAATTGATAGTTCACAAATAAAAATAATTATTTAGGAGGGATCTGAGAATATATTTTTGGCCATAAAACTTGTGATGTAAGTATCTAAGGAAGTTAATGATTCAGCATATTCTGCCTGCACTATCACCAACTGAATGAAAAAGCAAAAACAGACGTTAAATTCCCCATATCCACCAAGTATCCATCACAGCTGTTGATCCAATTCTCCAGAGGAGTCTTCTCTAGCTAGAATTAAGTTCCTGTGGTTCAGTGATTTGGTCTAGCCCAGGATAGACAGCATTTAAGATTCAAAAAAGATCTCTGAGATCAAAGCGAACACATTCATTATATGGATGAGGAAAATGCTGGCCAGGGAGTGACAGGAACAGCTAAAAATAGATTCAGGTCACAGACCCAGAGCTCCTGATTTCCAGCTACGTTCTTCTGGTGACACATTCTCCAGGGTAAGAGTCTATATAATTTACTGTCGTTTGATTACAGAGAATGTTATCATTTCAATATAAAGCAACGCACATAATATGCCCAAATCAGAATTGCTAATTCACTTCCAGAGTATTCAAGGGTAAAGCTGACTGGCTTTTTTTTTTTTTTTGGTTGATATGGACATAATGTAAATATCATGGCTGCTTAGATGTCATTATTGTAAAGGTATTTCCCTATCAGCTTACGAGAATCAGGACAGAAACAACATTTAAATTCTCACTGTAAACAAAATGCAGTGGTAGGCACTGTAGAAACACATTTGGTCCTATTTTCCTTACCCTGAGCATGTAACAAAGCAGACTTTTTTCCAACAGCGTGGAGACTATGTACACTTTGGTGAAGAAAAGAATACACTCCCCGCAACACGCCGAGGGAGCACGTACCCGGGCACAGTATTCCTCGAAGGAGAACGATCATACGCATGATAGTGCAGAATGAAGACAGCATTTCTAGAGGTCTCCACTAAATGAGACCCCTGGGCTATGGTACCACAGATTTATCTCCACAACCTTCAAGCCAAACAAAGTATTAGGCGTGATGCAAGAAATCACGAAAAAGCCGATAACATGTAGGATGGCATTTTCTTGCTAGAAAGTTATACACAAGCATATCTTGTTTTATTGTGATTTCATTTACTGCCATTCACAGATACTGTGTTCTTTTTTTTTTTTTAAACAAATTGGAGGTTTTGTGGCAACGCTGCATCAAGCAAGTCCATTGGTGACATTTTTCCAAAAGTATTTGCTCGCTTGTGTCTCTGTGTCACATTTTGGTAATTCTTGCAGTATTTCAAACTTTGTCATTATTATTCTATTTAGTAGGTAATCTGTGATCAGCAGTTATGACTTGCTGAGAGCTCAGATGATAGTTAGCACTTTTTAGCAAGAGGTCTTTTTTCCTTTAAGGTATGTACATTGTTCTTTCAGTCTACTGCACACTTAATAGACTACAGAATAGTGTAAACATGACTTTTATATGGACTGGGAAACCAAAGAATTCATTCGAATCACTTTATGGTGATATTTGCTTTATTCTGAATGGTCTGGAGCTGACTCCACAATATCTCCAAGGCATGCTTGCATTGAAAAAAGAGTAAACAAGGCAGTGGGTACAAAATCATTCTATTTCAAGTTGGAGTGAAAAAAAAACAGTATTAGCATTTAGGCCATGATAGGAAGGCAGTGCAGAGAACTCAAGGTAATGAGCCTTTGTCTGGGCTCCTTAGCTTAATTAGAACATGAGTCTAAGACCAAAGTCGTGGGTTCAACGTGTACACAGAATAGTTTTAATGGTCATCGACAGTACATGTTACAAAGCACTGTTTAACAAGAATAGAAGAAACCAGAAAAATCTTAGAGGTTCCGTGGAAGTCTCATCCCAGTGCTGTCCTTTGAGGGCTTAGAAGTGCCATTTTGGTTCTCCCACTGAGGCGGACTGGACAGTTGGTCAGAATAATGGAAAGGGAGCCAATTAGGAATATATTGCACGCTTGGTTCTAAATGGCATATACTCCTCTGTAACTTAAAGGGATTAGACCTTCACGTTATTATTTTAGAAAGCCTCTGACCTTCTATTTTCCATAAAAAAGAAAACACTTCTCGAAAATACATGTCAAGAAGCTTATTTTCTGATCAGCGGTAGAGGATTAACAATGGGATGCTCAGTAGATAAATGGTAGTGTTAATAGGACGTGAGCCGAAGTATTTTAAGCAAAATCTTGCTTACATTAACAATGAAGCAAGACAGTAACTATAGTGAGAGGTCACATAATAATTTTCAATTAAGTATCCATCTCCTGTCATGTATAAACCAAGTCTTACTACTCAACTATCACATGATGTTAACTTTTTCTTTCACCTCAAATTGCCGATTCTGACTGCTTGGACATCATCATAGTTTTGGATTCTTGATCTGTGGGACTATCTTCAACTGGTACCTATAAAAAGAATCAGGAGATAAAAAAAAAACCTTACAGCATCTGGCATATGCCATTATGACAGATCAACAGCTGGCTTGGGAATACAAAAAAGCTGACTAGACAGATTGATTTCACACGCTTCTCAATAGTATAATCATAAAAATATTCATTACTTACAGCTTTAATATCACTGTTCACAATTCCTATGTTTATATTGTATCTTTTGAGATCAGACTTGATTAATGCTGAAACAGAGAAACATCAATGGAGTTATCAAAGAGTATATATGAATATATTTTTCTCTAAGCAGTACAAAGTCTTTTTTGATGTCACATTTAGCACACTGTAGTACCATCATATTCAACAGCATCCTCATAGCATGAAAAAATGCTAGGGACGCCTGGGTGGCTCAGTCGTTAAGCATCTGCCTTCGGCTCAGGTCATGATCCCGGGGTCCTGGGATCGAGCCCCGCATCGGGCTCCCTGCTCGGCAGGAAGCCTGCTTCTCCCCCTGCCTGTTCTGCCTGCCGCTCCCCCTGCTTGTGCACTCTTTCTGACAAATAAATAAATAAAATCTTAAAAAAAAAAGAAAAAGAAAAAAATGCTAGTGCTTCTCTAAGCCACTAACTTAATTAGCAATTCATTCATTAGTAAACAATTACAGGATGCTAGGAACCAAAGATACAAAGATGAAAAGCACAATTCTTTCCCAAGAGCACCCTCCAGTCTGAGGAAATATTGACAGGCAAACGATTATAATACTGTAGGGTCATTGCAAGCCCGTAGGTTATGTAGAAGATGTAGTGGGAGCCTCGGGGGGAAAATGCCTCTGTCAGTCCAGAGACAATCACGGAAGGTTTGCCAGAGGAAGCACATTTGAATTGAAACTTAGAAAATGAGTAAGGAACTTGTCAAGCAATAAGGAGAGGAAGGCATTCTGGGCAGACCGGAAATGGCATATGCAAAGAATGTGAGACAGGAGTAGAAGAGCCAAGAATGTGGCACCGGAGGTATTTGGGATCACTGGAGCATCAAGTACAAGGGGGAGGAGGCAGGCTATGTGGCTTGGTTGGTAGGTACATTGTATAAAAGAGTTTACACTGCCATCTGAATAGGGAGAAGGAATGCAGAAAGAAATCAGCCAAGTGAGCTAACAGGAGAAGCAATGTGGGTGCAGAAACACTGCTGGACATGAAGCTTTGCTTCTAAATCCATTTTTACATTAATGCGCCCAAACACGAATAAAAGCCCTTTTCTGTGCTCTTTCTCTAGGGGTCGGCCAGGTTGGGCTCTACTCTTGTTCCTGCCCATGTCTATTGATTATCCCTAACAAGGGTAAGAACTGGCTGATCATTCCATGTGCTATTTCCATGACCACACACTATCATAATTGCTGACGTGATTAGGCACGTTCTAGGTGCCAGACACAATGCTGGGAGCTTTTCATGAACCACCTCGGTTAATCCATGTAGCAACCCTCTAAGGCAGACTTTTTGATACCCTGTTATTATGAGTGAAAAAAGGAGGATTTGAGAGGTGAAGTAACTTGGCTAAAGTCACACAGCCAGTGAGAAGCAGGTCTGTCCACTCCTGAGTCTTTACCGACTCTTAATACAATGGTTTTGTTTTCTCTGCAATAGTAACAACAGTATTGAAGTTAAAATCTGAAAAATGAATGAATAGATTCATATCCTTGGAAAAAGACAAGTAATATCCTGCTTTTTATCTCTTTTTTCCCCTTGAATTCTGCCAAGCCATTGAGAATCCACAGACATGAAAATTAAATATAAAGACAATATGACATAAGTAATTTTGCCAGGAAAACACCCTAACTTACCTGTTAAAAAGATGCCTAGAAACATCCAAATACAGAGGAAAATATTCCCTATCCTAGGACCATAGTCTGACGTGAGTTTTCCTTGAGCCAATGTGAACAAAATTCCAAATATCTAAAATAAGAGAAATAATTGTTAAATTTGCTTCTTTGAAATCAGTGCAATGTTTCCCCCAGAACTTTTCCTAACTATTTTATTCATATGATTTAGCTTCTAGAAACATTGCAAGGTAGAATTTTTCAAACAAGAACTATTTTTAAACTTGTTACCCGCTAGAATAGTCAGCAAACTAATCATCTCAGATTTGAGAGACGTCAGAGGTTTACCTGTGCCGCAGCATTAAGAAGACCAGAGGAAGTACCTTCAGATTCTGGGTAAGTGATTTCAACAGCAAATTCAAAACCCAGTGGGAGGTAACCAGTCATGAAGAAACTAGGAAAATAAATCCAGAATTGTAGATACAATTAACTGAGGGGCAATGTCACATACTGAGGCAATCATTCTACTTCTCAGGACTATTCTAGTGATTAGATAACTGAATATTCTGAACTTAACGTGTGAAAGTAAGGCCCTATTATTATTCACCAATCAGCCCAAGGACAGAAGAACTGAGAAGTAAAGCAGTTTCAAAGTTTTTCTTTTTCTGAGAAAAATTTACCTTTAATTTGCGAAGTCAGTTGTTTTTCTAGCTAAATAAAGTTACCTGGACTGAGGAAGGCTTATCCATTTTTCACTTATCATATATACCAAAAAAAAAACAATTTTAAACTACTTTTTTTTAATTTCTAAAGAATTACGCATTTACGTGCACAGGATTCTTTAAAGTTTAAAATATTACAGGACATTTGAATGAACTAAAAATTTACAACCACAGTAGTAATACTTCAGAATTGTAACAGCATACTATCTACTCCTCCTACATACCCGATGCTTACCCGAGTACCCCTCCAGTAACAAACACGATGGCAATGTGTCCAAGTTCCAATGTGACAGTAAATACAACCATTCCCAAAAAAGACAAAATGTAAACTATCAGAGTAGTCTGTCTAAAACAAAAACAAAATTGTTAGTATTTTGCCTGATTTTCCTAGGTATATAAAAATCACATCACTAACCACTGCTCTGTCCATACGGTAATAAATGCCTTGGTTTTCAAGATTGGGTTTCTCTTGTATGGAAAATGTCTCCACCAAAGCATGGACTTTAAAGCTTACATTTAAGATTCAACAGCAGCAACCGACAAAACTCACACCATATCCAATGTTGAGACAGGAAGGAATATTCATATGGATCAAATCATTTCTGTTCCACCAAGTGGGATAGTTCCCTCACTGTATCTCAAGACTGGGTTCAAATTCTACCTCTTCCAAAATGCCTTTCCTAACCACTGCAGCTTACAACATTGTCTCTCCTTCCAAATTCCCTTATCATCTCAGAATCTAAATAACTGTCACATGACAGACATCTCTTGGGCGTATCACATCTATTTTAGTCTGTTATATTATTATTTCTCATATATGAATGCTTTACTTTCCCCACTTAGACCACAAATGTCTCAAGGACAGGGACCCTATATTGCTTGTCACAATCCCTAGCTGGAACTATGGCCACAACACAGGTTTGGTGAATGAATGGCCATTACTCTGAGAACAAAATCAGGACAACAAAGAAGACATTCCTATGCCTATCAAGTTTTCTAATTCTAAAGTGGATCAAAGGCTAGTAATAACTTTAATCCTTTACATATGTTCCCTTTATCTACAGATTGAATGGGTTTCACTGTAAGCTACCATTTCATAATAATGAAACCACAGCAAGTATTGTATTAAATTACAGGAGAGCTATCTTGGTGAATTTCAACATGAGAGGTCTTTGGAAGGGCTTACATAATGATATCAAACATATCTTGGGCCTTGAAAGGTACATAGGATACATAGGTGACAGTTCCATATTTCATTCATTCATTTTATTTCATTCCATTCACTTATTCATAGTTCCATTCATTCATTTCTCCCAAGCAGATAGGAAGATTCTGCCTGTTAAAAAATGTAGCTATTCTTGGCTTAGAGGCCCAAGATGGCAGCCTAGGAAGACCTTGAATGCATGTCCTCCCACAGACACACAGAATCTACACAGAAAGCAATTCCTCCTGAAGAAGAACTGAAGACTGCCTGAACAGCTTCTGCATAATAAAGGGTAGAGGGGCCACACAGAGAACAGCAGGAGAGACAGAGACAGGGTGACAGTGGGAACCCCACCGTAGACCCAATGACCTGCAGTAGGGAGAGAGATCACTGGGCTGTGCCTGTGCAGATTCACCTGCCCTGGGGGCACAGCTAAAAACAAAAACAAAACAGTGGTTTAAAGGGCAACTAGACTATGAGTGAAGGAAATCCATTTACTAGCCCTAGAGTATCTGCCGACCTGTGGGGAAATTGCTGGGACTCACTTTGGAGTTGGAGATCCTGGTAACAGCCACTGTTTACATTCCTCTTCCCCCTTGAGAGATGGGAACAGAGTCCACTAGCCCACACTAGCTCCATCTGTCCTGCAAGGGGAGCCCTCCCAGACTGCATCTGCTCCAGGTCAAGGTGCAGAGCACCCCCACCAGCACTCACTCTAGCTCCAGCCACCCTGCACGGCAGCCAGGCCACAGAGTGCCTACGAATGCCCCAGGGCCCCCTGGCTCATGCCTGCTCCAGGTGCAGCTATTCTGCCTATATGGACCCGGCATGAAGCCCCTGGGACCACCCGGCCCAAATGTGCTCCAGCTCCAGCCCTCCCACCAGGGTGGCCTCCGGCATGGAGCACCCCACAACCTCTGGCCTGGACCAAATCCAGCTCCAGCTGATGAGCCTAAGTAGCCAGGCACACAGAGTCTACACGGGGGACGTTCCTACATAAGGCCACTCCTTCAAGACCGGAAGTGATACAAACCTCCAGCTATAAAATAAATAAGTCATGGGGATAAAAAGCATAGCATAGGGAATATAGTCAATAATATTATAATCCCTTTGGTGACAGACGGCAGCTACACTTACTGTGGGGGGCACTGAGTAATGAAAATAATTATTCCCCTATGTTTCTTGCAGCATTATTTACAATAGACAAACTATGGAAGCAGCCCAGGTGTCCACTGATAATGAATGGATAAAGAAGATGTGGTGTATAAATATATAATGGAATATTATTCAGCCATAAAAATGAAATCTTGCCATTTGCAACAAGAGGGATGGATCTAGAGAAGAGATCTAGCTATACAAGTCAGTCAGAGAAAGACAACATGATTTCATTCATATGTAGACTTTAAGAAACAAAACAAACAAACAAAGGAAAAAAAGAGAGAAGAGAATACCAAGAAACAGACTCTTCACTATAGAGAACAAACTGATGGTTACCAGGGGGAGGTGGGTGGGGGAATGAAGAGCACACTTATCCTGATGAGCACAGAGTAACTATAGAATTGTTGAATCACTATGCTGCACACCTGCAACTAATATAATATTGTATGTCAACTATACTTCAAATTAAAAAAAAAAAACAAAAAACAAAACCAAAGAAAAAAGCACTACCAACCCCCAGAAGGTCCCCCCAATCACTGCTTCCCTGCCTCCAAGAGTAACCACTATCTTGACTTCTAACAAATGTGCTTTATATAAATGAAATCATACATCATAAATATATATACAAATAGTTATTCTTTTAAGGCTCAGTGCAAAAGATGCTGCCCCTGAAACCCCTTTTCAGTCTCCCAGTTGGTATTCCTAAATTCTTCTTTTGTATTAGCATTTTGATTATAGAAATGTATAATTAATATAGTATTTTCATATTATGTATTATATTATAGTTAAGTGGTGCTATAGTTTGGAGCACTTTAGGCAAAGGCTTTTAAAGACTGTTTCTTCAAGATTTTATTTATTTATTTATTTTATTATTTTTTTAAGTAAACTCTACATCCAACATGGGACTCAAACTCATGACCCTGAGATCAAGAGTCGCATGCTCCCACAGAGCCAGCCAGGCACTCCTACACAAATACTTTTTACCAAAAATGCCTTATGCTCAATAACAATTTTTTGGTAGGAGAGACAAAATTTTTTGTTTGTTTTTAAGCTTACAGCGTGAGAAAAGAACAGATTAAAGTCTCTGTCAGAAGTCAAATATTTCTCAGGAAGGGCTTTTGTAGAATAGCAATGATTCCTTCTAAAGATATACATGTGCATGGTTATTATCAGAGGGGAAGAAGCTTCGTAAGGTATCCAAATTCTCAAAGTCGAAATAAGGATGACTGATAAAATAAGACAATGTATAGACTTCATTCAGAAGTGAAGGGAATCTACAAATGTCTAGAATCCAAGTCTTTTAGTAATAATAACACTTTTTAAATTTCCCAAGTTAAAAAGCAAAGTTTCCATTAAACCCAGAATACCCTGGGTTGTACACCATACGTTTATCTACTACAACTTACTTGTATGTTTTGGTATGATCTAGCCACAAGCCACAAAGAATAGAGCCTACCATTCCAGCTACTACCAATGTTAGCCCAATCCTTCCAGCGTTGATTTCTTCTCCCTTAAAAAAAATTTTCAAGAGAAGTTAATCAGATACTTCTAACTCAAATAGATCTTTCACATTCCCATACCTTTCACAGTCAATGGAAATAATCGGATAAATTAAGCATACAATATAGTAGGAAATTTAGTACATCTGTTAGGGTGAAGGGGGTGGAGGGCAGGTAAAGCACATATCAAGGACATTCTATTTTCCAACCACAAAAAAAAGAAAACCTGAAATGTGGGATAAATAAAAGAAATTTTTCTTGATCCTCCATGGTTAGAAAGTACAATGATTTTTGTTAGAATTCTCAGGTAATTCACAGAAGTCTCAGAAGGAGATTAATCTGATAGTTTTTACATATTACAACTGCTTTCTCCTTTCAAAAGCTAAAACAGGTCACAGCTTGATATTTACTTCTTTATATTTGGGTTGGTTTCCTTTAAAATTGTTTGTTTTTTTTCCCCATATAACCAGTCATTTCTTTTAAAAAGTACTGAAGAAAGACTTAGGCATTGTCACAGCAATAATACCTTCTGCTTTCCATTTTGTGTGTTTTATAAAATGGATTAAATGTATTCTCAATGAAAACAAATGAAAGGGGGGCCTGGGTGGCTCAGTCGTTAAGCGTCTGCCTTCAGCTCAGGTCATGATCTCAGGGTCCTGGGATCGAGCCCCGCATCGGGCTCCCTGCTCCGTGGGAAGCCTGCTTCTCCCTCTCCCACTCCCCCTGCTTGTGTTCCCTCTCTTGCTATCTCTCTGTCAAATAAATAAAATCTTAAAAAAAAAAACAAAAACAAATGAAAATCTTTTAAAGCAACAAGGTCATAAATTTTTTTTTAAGATTTTATTTAAAAAAAAATAATTTCTACAGCCCATATGGAACCTGAACCTACAATCCTGAGATCAAGAGTCACACGCTCCACCAACTGAGCCAGCCAGGCGCCCAGTAAATCTTTAATCTTATGATCATGCTATCAGGATTTACACTGTTTAAGAAACATTCGTGGCCAGGCATGTGACACAGTATAGACAGAAACTCACCTTATAATATGTCAGTATCATTTGATTTAATAATGTTGAGACTGAGTAAAATGCTCCAGTTATGATACCTACAATAATAAACAGAAAATTATAAATGTACCATTTACTAGTTCATAACGTGATATGGAGTACTCTGTGACAATGGTGAACATATAATGTATTTCTCAGACAGCTGCCAGAGAAAACTAAAAACCCTTGCCATTTCATTTCAGACTTTGGAATGATCAATTTAACACCTCAACTTACTAGAGATTACAATAGTAAAATTCTGTCATTACACCATTTATTATTATTTAGACTCAGATATGCCAACCATAACTTCTGTCTCCATGCAGAACACTGTATACAGCAATGAAGCACTGAACGGATCGCTTACTGAGCTCCTACAATGTACTCGAGCTAGTGAATGTTCAAACAGGAGACAGAATCTCTGCCTCAGAGATCTCACCCCTGCATCAAAGACTTCAAGGCAATTAGTAAGATAGTATTAATTATAGAATATTTAAAAAGGAAAAATAAAAAACAGTTGGTTATCAGAAAGCAAATGACTAGGTTTGAATCCTGCTGATTCTTGGCACATTTGTAGGACTTTATTTTATTTTTTATTTTTTAAAAGATTTTATTTATTTATTTGAGAGAGAGAGAGCATGAGAGGGGAGAGGGTCAGAAGGGAGCAGACTCCCCGCTCAGCAGGGAGCCCGAAGTGGGACTCGATCCCGGGACTCCGGGATCAAGACCTGAGCCGAAGGCAGTCGCTTAACCAACTGAGCCACCCAGGGGCGCACATTTGTAGGACATTAGGTAAGCCTCTTAACCTAGCAAGGTAAGTTTGTTATTTCTATTATTAAATACTTCAAGCATAGACTAAAGTGCAGAGAATAATTTAACAAATACCCTTACTCATCACCCAGCTTTGTCAAACATTCACATGTTGCCATCTTTGCTTCAGATTCATTTTTTAGATCTCTAATCCTGTTCTTCTCTCCTATTCTTTCTGAGGTAAGCCCGAACCTCATGTTAGTGCTTATCGTTTTATCTTATTTACTTTATTTTAAGATTTATTTATTTATCTTAGAGAGAGAGGGCATGAGTGGGCGAGGGGCAGAGGGAGGGAGAGGGGAAGCAGACTCCCCGCTGAGTGGGGAGCCCGAGAGGGGGCTCGATTTTAGGAACCTGAGATCATGACCTGAGCCAAAACCAAGAGTCAGACATCCGACTGAGCCATCCAGGTACCCCAGTGCTTATCATTTTAGATATTAATTATATGTGCATCCATAAATAACAATTAGAATTATTCTGCATATAATTGAACTATATATAAATAATATATTATTTGTATCTATCTGTAGCTTGCTCTTATCACCCAATATTACAGTTATGAGCTTTATCAGAGTCAATACTTTAAATTTTAGTTCATGGGACGCCTGGGTGGCTCAGTCGGTTAAGCATCTGCCCTCAGCTCAGGTCATGATCCCAGGGTCCTGGGATTGAGTCCCACATCGGGCTCCCTGCTCAGCGGGGAGCCTGCTTCTCCCTCTTCCTCTGCCACTCCCTCTGCTCATGCTCTCTCGCTCTGTCAAATAAATAAATAAAATCTTAAAAAAAAAAAGTTTACATAAAAAAAAACCCAGATTTTATTTATTTATTTATTTGAGAGAGAGAGAGAGAAAGCACAAGCAGGGGAAGAAGCTGACTCCCATGCTGAGCAGGGAGCCCAACGTGGGGCTCGATCCCAGGACTGGAGGATCATGACCTGAGCCTAACGCAGACGCTTAACTGACTGAGCCACCCAGGCGTCCCAAGAAATTCTTTTTTTTTTTTTTTAAAGACTTTACCCATTTGTCAGAGAGAGAGAGGGCACAAGCAGGGGGGCCGGCAGGCAGAAGCAGGCTCCCTGCTCAGCAGGGAGCCCAATGCGGGACTCGATCCCAGGACGTCGGGATCACAACCTGAGCCAAAGGCAGATGCTCAACTGACTAAGCCACCCAGGCACCCCCAAGAAATTCTTTTAAGAATACTAAAGCCAGTTTCCTATATGTACTTCTAAAACTTGAAATTTCTAATTTTCACCCTTTGGTCTTTATTCCATTGCAATTCATTTTTTGGATATAGAGAGCTAATTTTATTTTTCCCATATGGATAATCAATTATCCCAGGACAATTTACTATATAATTTCTCTTATACAAAACATCTAGTTTTCATATATACACGTTCTAGTCATTAGAGCTGTTTGCAAATACAGTAGTCCTCTCTTATCTGCATGGGATCTGTTCCAAGTCCCCCAGAGGATGCCTGAAACTGCAGATAGTATGCATACATATGGTAAAGTTTAATTTATAAATTAGGCACAGTAAGAGATTAACAACAATACTTAATAATAAAATAGAAAAATCACAGCAATATGCAGTAATAAAGGTTATGTGAATGTGGTCACTCTCAAAATCTTATTGTACTGTGGTTTTTCTTCTTGTGATGATATGAGATGACAAAGTGCCTACGTGATGAGATGAAGTGGCGTGAATGACACAAGCCGTGTGATGTAGGGTCAGGCTACTGCTGACCCTCTGTAATAGGTCAGAAGGAGGAGCGTCTGCTTCCCGACCGCGGTTGACCACGGGTAACTGAAACCAGAGAAAGTGGAAGTAGGACTCCAGGGATCGCTGTATTCTAGTTTTTCTCTTTCCAGACACTTACGTGGCCATATGACTTTAGATGTGAGCAAAAGTGACATTTCCCACTTGCTGCCCTAGTAATCATAGCAGCATGTGCCAAGATGTCATTCTGGGTCCCTGAATTAACTCTGGTGAGCAGCACCTTGCTGCCAATTCGCATTGAACATGCAGGACTGGCTGGCAATAAGTAAATTTTTGACGTGTTAGGCCGCTGAGATTCTTTATTAGCAGAATTTCATTGCTATCATAGGAACTAGCCTGCAAATGGATACAGAGAAGTAGATCACTGGGATCGCTACTCTGTTCCCGTAATCTAATAGTCTATCCCTTGATTATACGTGGCATCTTAATTATCATTGTTTTATAAATTCTGGTGTCTGAGAATGTGTCCCTCACCTTGTTCTTCATTGACATTATCTTTGTTGTTCTTGGCCCTTACTTCTTTCACAGGAATTTTACAATTAGTCTAGTTCCCTTACAAACCCTGTTTAAATGGAAGATTGCAGGATAAGACATACAGCTGTCTAAAGATCATATCAAAAAACCCTGAGTAACTGGCCTTGGTTGCTCACTTCCCACTGAGTTCAGATGTATATAGGGACCCAGCGCGTTAGCCTGAGGAGGCCAAGGAAAACAGGCCTAAGGGTATCTACTGCACTCTACCCTCTGCTGATCTTGCATCTATTCCAGACGGGGTAAAGATAGGAAGAGTGAGGGTAAAGGATCATGAGAGCAAGAAATACTGTTATCTGAGCTTAGATTATTTGTCTGAGTTTCAGACAGCAAATAGCAAGAGTGGCATAGTGAAGGATCACGTTTCCTCCAAAGAGCCTTACCTCAAGAAAATGTTACCTTAGACTATTTGGTTCCGAAGTTTTGGACACTGTATATAATCCTGAAAACCTGTCCTAAGAGTATAGTCCCTATTTAGACTATCCCATGTGCAAGTCTGCTCCAACTTTATATATATATAATAGTAGTCATGGAGGGAGACAGGTGCACTGTCAAAAGGTGTGATGTGACTCACTCATTCAAAACCATGATCCCTAACTAGGCACCCCTTCGGTAAAGAATATGAGGTCAAGAAAGTTTTCCAGCTCTCCTGGGGAACTCTCCACAGTGTTTCCCATTGCCTTCTTTCTGAATTTTTTTTGAAGATTTATTCATTTATTTTAGAGAGTAAGTGAGGCAAATGTTAAGCCAGCTCTTGTAGGACTGCTTGAGGGGAAAAAGGAGTACATTTCAGGTAAAAGGAATAACGGCACAAAATTACAGAGACGAGAATTCACAGCATATATGCACGTGGAGGCATGTTCGTGTGTGTGAGCGTTTGTGACAAGGGGCTGGTTAGAAATTGGCTCAAAGACAGTCTTATCTTGGGAGTCAGAGAGAGATAAAGAAGGTAGGAATCTTTCTTCCTTAAAGGACAGGCTACAGAAGTGAATTTGCTCTTATAGATAATAACCGCCCACTGTATTTTCTCTACTTCCTAGTTATGTGTTTTAGGTTTAAGCTAACCAGTGGAGGGAACCAGCAAAATTAAGAAAAGGAACTATGGCATGCTGAAGTATTTAATGATGATAGGATATAACACCTGGGATTTGCTTTAAAAAATTCCAGGAAAAAAGTAGAGGAAAGAGATAGAGCAGGAATACTGAAATGTTGACCATTGCAGCTGGGTGATGATAGGTACATAGGAATTCACTATATTAAATGTTTTATTTTTGTGTTCAACTATTTTCACTGAAAAAGAAAAAAAAAAGATCAAGTAACCGTGGTAAAGGGGTGAGTGAGCATTTAAGTCAGGGCATAATTTGTTACAACCCGTAAAACAGTTATGTACCAGGGTGTGTGCTCCCAGAAAGATGTAAAGAAGAGAAAGAACAGCAGTGAGCGACTTCTGAAGACAAGTAAGACAGAAATAGGGGGTGTTGGCAGTTACTATAAACGGTGTTGATATATAAAAAAAAAAAAAACCAAAGAATAAACTGTCAGCAAACTCTGAACGGAACCAAATGGGTTCGTGCCTGCAGTCAAACCTACAGCATCAGAGTGAGTATCTGTCAGCTATCCTGGAATACCTAGAAGGATAAGAATTGTTTTTCAAGTTAGAACTGGTTAAGGTGATCGCATTAATGTCGAGTTTTGACTGAGTAGTCAAAATAGATGCCAGTTTGCATAGGAGCAGAGAAAGGAATTGTTGATGACATTTCCCATATGCGTACAGCAGTTTATGAAGGACTTAAAATACTCGGTGTAAACTCAAAAAAGAAGACAGTGCTTGTCTATTTGAGATCTATTATATTTTATTTAAAAAACATAACAGATTAAGAAATTGGATTAAGAAATTTTGCTTTTAGTTCAAAATTTAAGTTTATGACTACGCCATCATTATTTTTATAGTTAACAAACCTATCTCATTAATTAAAGCTCAATCCACTAGATTAAATGAAAAGAATCTACAATGCTCAAAGTTTTATACAGAAATCAAAGTAAAAGAAAACCACTTACCGTAAGTGATCAAGAGAAGGACAAAAGGAATGTTTCTAAATAGGTTCCTTATTGATTTCTTATACGAGTATTCAGCAGGGGAACTGTTTTGAAGAACTGCTTGAGCCTGACTTGGTGGATACTGAGGTTTTTCTTTGAATGCTGGAAACACACATGGAAAGGTAATTAAATACATGGATCTTGCTTAGTGAGCAGACTAAATCAGTTTAAGCTTAAAGAGGTAGTGAAAGTCTTATAGTGAGTCTTTCATTTCCATTAATTTCTGAAGAATATCCTCTCAGTCCTCTGAAACGGACCACAGCTCAGAGATCTGGTCAATTCACATAACTGCAAAACCATCTCAATAATATGTCACAACCTTGCCCACTGATTAGTCCATTCTTAGTTAAGCAAGATTAGTTTTTATTCTTGTAAGTATTCAACAATTCCATTTCTAAACTTAGTTCAATTTGTAATTACAGGTAACATCAGAGATGAGAAAACTGGTCTATGTTACCTTTTAGAGGACTGTCTTGAGTTAGTAACTGTTTTCTTCTATTTGCTACAGAAATTTATCATCTGATCTAATTAGGTATAATTTCTAGAATTGAAAAGGTCCAGGTAGATTCCCAGGAGCAGAGCTCACCAAAACATCAGTTAATTAGGATATACTGAAAACTTATCAAACTAAAACAGACTTCTATTTTTACAGGTGTCACAACTAATTCAAGAGGAGACATACTCATGAATATTTACTTTTGAACAGTTCTTCTGTGGGAGGACTGGTAGACACAAAATGTCTAAGTTGTTGCAGTCCCTTCTCTTCATTCACCCTATCTGCTCCTTTCACTGTTGAGGATGCCTGTTGTCCTTTCCTAAAAGACTCTTTGGGTTCTAGTTAAGATTGGAGATATCTCTTTTTGTTAATAGTGGCAATACACAACTCACGCGGTTGTAAAACAAAGTTTCAGAAAGTAAAAACCGTGCTTACAAGGTAATCATGGGGATTGAGTCTTCAGTCTCTTATTTAGGTTCTTATTTACTCTGGTAAAGTAAGTATAAGTGGTTCAGATTTGAACTCAAACGCAAAGAGAAATCAATGCCTATTAGTCTTCAACCCCACTGAATTTATTTTCTGAAGACATGTGTTATCTTTTTGTTTCAGGTAGTCAACTGCCCTGTTGGACAAAATCAGGCCCGTATCTATCAGCTACACAATACACTAAAGTCGGGTTTCAGTCTATATGAAGAAAAGGAAACAGAGGAACAGAAAACCACTGGTCTATGACCCTGTTTACTCTGCATTGCTTCCTTTAAAGGATGAAATATGGCTTTCTCTTTCTCCTTGGAAACTGAAAAGCAATAGCCTTCTTCTTTCTTCTCCCCACCAAAAATGTATGTCAATAAAATAGCTAACTATTGGGGCCCCTGGCTGGCTGAGTCAGTTGAGCATGCAACTCTTGATCTTGGGGTCCCACACTGGGCAGAGAGCTTACATAAATAATAATAATAGTAATAATAATAATAATAATAATAATAATAATAATAATAATAAACTATTCAAGCAGTTATTCTCCAAAGTAGCAAAAGGATTTTGGGGCACCACATTCAAACCTTTTCTCCCATGATGAATAAGAAGGAAATCTATGTGTTTAGGACTACTTCTACTTTTGGAATTAAATAATAACATTATCTTTTGATTTCATTATTTGTCCCTGTATGATTCAAGCAGACATTCCACATATTAACTTATTACAAGATATGTAGAGGTTTGAATACTGGCTCTGCCTCATATCCTTGTATAACTCAGAAGAAGTCAATTCCTGTCTCTCAACTATAGTTTTCTCATACATAAAATGGAAATAACAAGTTGTTATGAGGATTATATGATATAATATATGCAAAATAATCTTGTAATTATTGAATGCTACACAGAATACAGTGTCATTTTCAGGAATACTTGTTTTGTTTTTTAAAGATCCATTTATTTATTTGAGAGAGAGAGAGCACAAGCAGGGGGAGAGAGAGAGGGAGTAGTAGACTCCCTCTGAGTACAGAGCCCAGCATGGGGCTCGATCCCTGAAATCATGACTTGAGCTGAAGTCAGATGTTTAACAGACTGAGCCACCCAGGTGCCCCCAGGAATACCTACTTTTAAAAGTCAGAGACTTTATCTCAGGGGCTTAAAATTCTTATAGACTAAGTAAAACATATTTCTGTTAAATATTTACAACAGCAGTCTATCTATAAATATCCTGAAGAATCAAAAGTAGAATTACACATACATGTTATATACTCATGTGTTTAAGTACCTTAACATTAAATATTTTGATTGCCTTTACTTCTGGTTTCTCTCATCCACTCACATTAGTGAATCAGGAAGGTAAGGATTTTAATTTGCACATTTGAGTTACGTGATAGAGTTTATTGCCCTCCTGCACAAGGATAGCTTTCAAACACAACTGCATTACCACTTATACAAGTGGAATTTGAACTGAAACAAAAACAAGACTAATTAAAAATTAAAATGCCGTATTTTTATATATAACATTTTAAATATGGAGTTAGGGTACCTAGGCTCAAATTTCATCTTCAGTATTCCCTGTGACCATGGATAGATTACATTTACTTCAATTCTGCGTCCTACTTTCCTCATCTATCAAATGGGACTGAGAATAGTACCGCCCTCATAGGGCTATGAGGATTAGATGATGCACCATGTAGTGTGCCTACTTTAAACATGTTTGGTACTTACCAAACCACCAACTGTTAGAGGCCACAATCGTGTGGGGTATGAAGAATGAGGTATTAGTGTGAGATCTGGTGGAAGGCTTGGGTTAATTCCTAGAAATGCTAGATGGATTACATTCATGAATAAGCTCCATGAGGGAGGGCAATAGGGTTACATGGCATGAAGCCTCAAGATAGTATTTTTGAAAGACTGCTGAATACCAATTTAGTAAACGTCACATTGCTGAAAAGCAACAGCAAAGCCAAATTACTTTCTAAATTTGGCTGGGCTTCCAAAGTATTTATGGGAAGTATTCAGAGGGAAGTAGGATTGTCGCTTAGTAATTAAGGACCTTTAAAATAATCCCTATCTTCCTCAATAGCAAATATTTGAGTATAAGGAAAACAGATAAATTTTTTTGTTTAAATGTCACGATTTTCAACCCAAAACATTCATGTCACACCTGTATATTATCTTGCTTTTATACTATGCTTGGTATCATAAGGTTAAGATTACAGGTCACCAAGCAAAACTTGACAGTGAGCCCTTTCTTCCCTGCTCCATCTCCACGGTCTCCTCAGAAGCTAGGAGTGCATAAATAAGTAATAATGTACATGAATAGGTCTCTTTTAATTTCTCAAGTAACACAGGTGCTATGTCAAAGGTCAACCTATTATTACTGCCTTTTTGTCCCCTACCTTTCACAAATAAAAATCTTATATTTGTCGGGGCACCTGGGTGGCTCAGTCATTAAGCATGTGCCTTCAGCTCGGTCATGATCCCAGGATCCTGGGATCAAGCCCCGCATCAGGCTCTCTGCTCAGCAGGGGGCCTGCTTCTCCCTCTCCCACTCCCCCTGCTTGTGTTCCCTCTCTTGCTGTGTCTCTCTGTCAAATAAATAAATAAAATCTTATATTTGTAGCATCTCATATAGATATGCTTAAACACATATGTGTCATATATATGATTTCACATATATTTTTCCAAAGAGATAAAGCCATGAAAGGCAATAAAAAAAGGAAAACCAGAATTGATGTGAAGATACACAAGCAATCGTAGGAAGGTGGATTTTACATTTAATAATCCCTAATTGCTAATAGACGATCCATTTATACAAAACATATACAAACTATATGTCCTTTAGCAAATCAAATATGGATACCAGAGAAGTAGATTTAAGAGTTTGTTTTAAAAAATATACAGTTGACCCTTGAACATGGGGGTTAGGGGAACCAATCCCCCACACAGCTGAAAATTCATGTATAACTTTTGACTCCCCAAAAACTTAACAACTAGTAGCCTACTGTTGACCAGAAGCCTTACTGATAACATAGTCAATTGACGCATATTTTGTATGTTATATGTGTTACACATTGTCTTCTCAAAATAAAGTAAGCTAGAGAAAAGAAAGTCTTACTAATAAAGTCATAAGGAAAATACTTTTACAGTACTGTAAAAAAAATCCATGTATAAATGGACACATGCAGCTCAAACCCATGTTGTTCAAGGGTCAACTGTAGATTTCTTTTAAAACTTTGTTAAACTGCTGAAATAGTACAGGGATAATTTGTCTTTTTTCAGTAGTCTAGACACAGCAAAAATGTCACCCCCTAATTGAAACATAAAAACCAACCACGAGTAGATTTGGCATGTCAGAATCCTTTCTATGCTACCAAGAGAATATTTTTTTCATTATCTGAAGGGAAATTAAATGTATGGGCAGTTCATCTATGAAGGCAGTCTCTATCAGAACAGTCTTCAACCTACATGCCTTTGAAAACCAAGGATTTCCTATCTGGAGATCACAAAATTTGAATTTTTCGTTACTATGATAGCCATGGTAAAAATTAATCTTATACATTTTAAAGCTCCAGCTATCATGCAATTTAATGTAAATATTAATGATTAAAAGATGGCCTTTCAATTTTAAAGTTGCTGTCTTCCTCAAATCGAGTTACGATATCCTGAGTGCCCAAAGGACAATAGTGCAGTTATATTAGCAACCACATTACTTTAAAAAACCTGTCCTTCGCCCTGCAAGCAAACTTGTTTCCCATTAAAAAATAAACTTTAAAAAGCAGACCTTCCCAAATCTTCTTCCAAACTGATGATGTGGCTGCTTGCAGCTGATTTTGACTGACTGCTTCAAGAGACAGGCCCAGACGAGAGGACTCAGGGACGGGTGGAGAGAACAGTGCTTTGTTGAAGTGGTCTAACAAGCTCTGCTGAGCAGCTGAACAGCTTGCCACTGCTCAGGATCGTTCACTGGTCAACATGTTCGGATCCAGTTAATTGTTAAAATGGGGATCCTTGGAAGGATTTCTCATTAAAAAAGAGAAAAAGGTTGGTAGCCTCTTTGCATCATTTCCAAGCATAACAAGAATTTGTTCCTGGCTATGTTAGCATCAGCTGCAGATACGTAGAGGAAGATGCAAACAGGAGGCAGGTAGTATGTTGGAAACAACAGTTATCCAGGAAGAAAAGTTAGTAGGGAGAGAAATTAAATGAGTTAGTCTTCAAACCCTTTGCGATACTAAAATAGATATAGCTGACCATAACAGATCCCTAGGGTGTAGCATTCATTATCTGAACAGGTGCAACAGCAAGAATGAAACAAGCAGATAGCAAAGGGAGATATTATGAAAATGTTCAGGGTCAGCTATTTTTATTTCCGTATGTTTGCCATGCATTTATCTATTTAAGCAATAGGGAATATAATTTGCTTACCAATTACTGTTAAAAGACATAAAAATGTGGCGACGGATGATGTTCCATAAAACATGGTACTGATATTACAAGCCAGAAGATCTGTGTTATTCTGTGTGTTGGGCACTAAAACTGGTGGTAGCAAAAAGCCAACTGCAGTTCCAAGCTGTAAAATAAACAATCCTGTTAATAGCTATTATTAATAAGAGGGGGGAAAAAGGACATACTGGCAATTAATATAAAGAAGACAGCTAGCGTATTTAAGGTGTAAGGTGTACATTCTAAAGCACCATGTTCTCGGATGCTGGGCTGGCTCAGTTGGAGGAGCAAGGGACTCTTGATCTCGGGGTCTTGAGTTCAAGCCCCACACACCGTGTAGAGTTTACCCAAATAAATAACTATTTTTTTTAAAAAAAAGCACCATGTTCTAATGTTGGTTTTTTTGTTTTTTACTACAGTACTGTTAAATGGTAGTTGCTCCTACTATTTGAATGATTCTGCTGTAAGGATGTAAGATACCGTTCTTACCTTTTAGATGCTTGCAATCAAAAAGAAGAATAAGAATATGCAGAGTAAGGCTGAGAAAGATGATATATAGAGTGGGAGAAAATAGTTGCAAATCATATGTCGAAAAAGTGTCTACCATCTAGAATATATAGAGAACTCTCACAACAACAACAAAAAGACAAACATCCAATTCAAAAATGGGCAAAGGACTTGAATACACATTTTTCCAAAGAAGATATACAAATGTTCAATAACCACGTGAAAAAAATGCTCAACATCATTAATCAGTAGGGAAACGCAAATCAAAACCATAATGAGATACCACTTCATACCCACAAGGATGGCTATAATAAACAAACAAACAATTGGAAAATAACAAACGGCAAGATATGAAAAAATTGCCACCCTTGTACCCTGCTAGCAGGATTGTAAAATAGTGCATCCACTGTGGAAAACAATTCGGCAGTTCCTTAAAAAAGTAAACATAGAATTACCATATGACCTAGCAATTCCACTCCTAAATAAATACCCCAAACACTAAAGATAGGTATTCAAATAAATATTAAATATTATACGTGAATATTCATAACAGCCCTATCTACAATAGCCAGAAGGTAGAAACAACCCCAAATGTCCATCAGTAGATGAATGGATAAACAAAATATGGTACACTCATATAATGAAATATTATTCAGCCCTAAAAAGAATGAAATACTACCATGGATGATCTTTGGATGAACTTTGAAAAACATGCTAAGTGAAAGAAGCCAGACATAAAAGGTCACATAGTGAATGATTCCATTTACATGAAACATCTAGAACAGCTAAATCCATAGAGAGAAAAAGCAAATTAGTGGTTGTCAGGGGTCAGAAGAAGGGGTGAATGAAGAGTGACTGCTTAGTGTTGGGTATTGGGTCTTCTTTGAGGGTGGATGAAAATATTTTGGATCTAGATGGAGGTGATGGTTGTACAACCCTATGAATGTACTAAATGCCACTGAGCTATAATCTAAGATGGTTAATTTTATGGTTAATGTGAATTTCACCTCAGTAAGAAAAACATAAGGTTGAATATGATAATCACAATGAAAGAAATAAAATTAAAGTATTAAAGGAACTCAATGGAGAAAGATAACAGGGAATGGAGATGAGAAGGAAGGGCCCAAGATTGATTTCCAAAAGGAAGTGTCACCAAACACTTCATTTGCTCCTTTACAAAAAGCTGGATAGAGACCACTAAACAGGTAAGTACAAGAGAGTTTGGTAAGTACAGTGATACAGTGATGGAGAGGTAGAGGGTGCTAAGACTGGGATGATCATGTGATCTATCATCCAAATGAGAACACTATTCAAAGTGAAAGGGACTAAATGAGCAGTTATCCTAATGAGCAGCTCCACACCTGGATTATCCCAGGCAAACTGGAACACACAGTCATCCTAGCTAAGAAACTACTTTGAAGGAGCACTTTGTATAGATTTGGGGTTCAGGAAAAGTTTCTGGAGGAGTGAAGATCTGAAGAAGAAACTGGAGTTAGCCAAGTGAAATCAGTGTGTTCCCAGCCAAGGGAACATCATGTACAAAGGAAGGAGGAGAGCATGACCTTGTGAGAAGCTGTAAGTAGTGGACAATTCCCCTCAGAAGCAGAGAAAAAATGTGAATGTGAGGAATGGGGGGGGGGTGCAGTGTGTGGAGAGGTGAAGCCGAAGAGTTGACAGGAGGCAGATCCAAAAGGACTCACACTGTCTTATTAGACAGTTTGAATTTTATACTCAGGGCAATGGAAGCCACTGCAGAGAGCAAGGGAGTGTCCTGGACAGATTTGCACATTAGAAAGACCACAGTGGATAAATGTGAAGAGTAATAGGAAAAGTGCAAGAGCTGCAGATAGGAAAGTCAGCCAGCAATCTCAAGGTAAGGGCTGCCGGTGGCCAAAGCTAAGAGAGAGGCAGCAGAAATGAAGAGAAATGAGCTAGGAGACCAGGTGAATTCAGATGGGTGAGACCATATGAAAATATCAGCTAGCCAGTATCTACGTGAGTCTGAAGCTCACTCATTTATTCAACAAATTTTTATGGAGCATCTATAATGTGCTGGGCACTGTATTAAATGCTGGTGAGACAACTGTATACATTCAGACCACATGCCTATTTTCATGAAACTTACAATCTAATGGTGGGGATGGGAAATAACTAACAACAATACATAAGCATAAATATATCAGAGAGTGATAAGCACCATATGGAGATAAGTATAATGATGTAATAAGAAAGTGACTGGGCAACTCTAAATGGGTTCCTCAAGAAATGCCACAAAATGATATTTAAAATGAATTTAAGGGGCGCCTGGGTGGCTCAGTCATTAAGCATCTGCCTTCGGCTCAGGTCACAGTCCCGGGGTCCTGGGATCGAACCCCGCATCGGGCTCCCTGCTCAGTGGGAAGCCTGCTTCTCCCTCTCCCACTCCCCTAGCTTGTGTTCTCTCTCTCGCTGTGTCTCTGTCAAATAAATAAATAAAATCTTAAAAAAATAATAAAATAAAAAACAAAATAAAATGAATTTAAACTGAGAATTGTGTGACAGTAAGGATGTAATAATGTGATCCTAGGAGGAAGAACATTCCAGGCAGAGAGAATGCTTCTGGCAAAGGCCCTTATGCAAAATCCAAGCTTAGTGTTGTTTAAGGAGACGAAGAAGACATATTAGAATAAGGTTTTACAACCCAGAGTGAAGAGTTTAGATTTTAAGTACTATGGAAAATCATCAGTGAGTCCAAAGCAGAGCAATGACAGGATCTGATCCATGTTTTAGAAGGGTTTCTCAGGTTAGAGACCTGGCAATAGGGATGAATAGTGAAAAGCCAGGATGCAGGAAATCGCACAGACTTGGGTGTGAATGCTGCCACCAGTTCGCTGTGTGACTTCTGGAAAATAATTTCATCCCTTCAAGTCTCAGTTTCTGTATCTATAAACCGGAGAGACTAATGGTTCCTACCTTATATTATTAAATTCAAGGACACAATGCATGTAAAATACTTAGCATAGTGCCAGGTTCTCAGTGAATGCTCAATAATGTGGAATATTATTATAAGTGATCACTCCATAATTTAGGCCGAAAATGAGGGCCATGAAAAGTGCACAGTTACTGCAGCCAAGGAAGGACAAGAGCCCTAGGGACAATGAATGTACGAAGAAGGCAGAGGTGTGCTGAACATGAGAGGGAAATCTGCCTATGAGAAAACATTTCCATTTATTACCCATAAATAGATAATCCATAGATATGGAGTTAATAATATTTCTGCCATACTCAATGAAGTATGAATATGGAATACAATTTTGGTAATGAAAAATACCTTAAGAAAACAGTTCCTATCTAAACATATGGAAGCAACCAACTCAAATATCAGTTATAAATTATTGGTTGTTTTTTAAAGATTTTTACTTATTTATTTATTTGACAGACAGAGACACAGCGAGAGAGGGAACACAAGCAGGGGGAGGGGGAGAGGGAGAAGCAGGCTTCAAGCTGAGCAGGGAGCCCGATGCGGGGCTTGATCCCACGGACCCTGGGATCATGACCTGAGCCGAAGGCAGACACTTAATGACTGAGCCACCCAGGCACCCCAGTTATAAATTATTTTGAATACACAACAACTACAGTTCAAGCTACCCTTTCTTCTGTACTTTTAGAGAAAGATAAACATAAAGTAATAAACATGTAGAGCTAGTCTCTTTATGGATTTTAGCTAAATCTTATTGTGATCTTGGAACAAGTGTTAGACTGGAAGTAAGAGAGTAACATTCTTTTGTTACATAGCAGGTAGGAATCTAGGCATCGAGACAGGTGATTTTTAACCACATTCTCCTCAAGCTGAATGAACACTCCATACAATGTACATAAAGTATCACAAAACTCCATATGCAAATTTTAAATGACAATAAAAGAATCCATCTGCAATTACAACACACACACACACACACAACATTCTACTTAGTAATGCTACAGGAATGCTACTGGAATTTGAACCTATGGTGTTAGAAGGACTAGGAAGCACTTTAAGGGGGAATTGGCAAAATAAGCCACCCTTTTACCACAGGTTCCATGATCTGCGATCTGTCTTGCATTTTCTGACTGTTAAAAACTGGTAATTGGACTCAGTAATGTTGTGAGGTCTTTACCACCAGAACATTTATTTAGCTGTCATTTATAAGCGTTGTGTACCAGGCACTCTGCTAGATTGCTATCATATAAAATTAAACAGGAAGGGCACTTGGCTGGCTCAGTCCGAAGAGTGTACAACTCTTGATCTCAGGGTCATGAGTTCCAGCCCCACCTTGGGTGTAGAGACTACTACAAAAGATAAATAAATTTTAGAAAAATAAATAAATAAGTAAAACAAAACAAAACAAAATAAAACAGGAGCTGTTCACATTGATCACTCAAAATGAGAACAAACTTCCCAGAATCCAACACCTTCCTTTTACAAAGAATACACTAGGGACGACAAAAATACCTATCTAAGTCTCACTGGTTATTACACTGACAAGTTTTCTATGATGCTAGGGACATATGGGCCAGTTCAGTTAATTATTTTATAGGTAATTCTCAAAGCAAGAAGATAAGGTGGTCACTTCAAACTGGTTTTGAAGTTCTGTCCTTACAAATAAATCAAATACCCTCTTTAATCCAAGGCTGCCTTCTATCTTACGACTACACATCTCCTTTCCTTCATTTATACACAACTGCCTCCTGAGGGTCCATCCATACGCCTAGCTCATACAGCCTATGCCTTTCTGGTCCTTTAAGGATCCGATTTTCATCTATCACTCTAGTTCTTACCTGATTGCCTAGCACGGCAGTGGCACAAGCTGTGGATACCTCCTTGGGCCCAAACCACACCGAGGCGATGCGGGAGGGCAAGCCGAGGATGAACACCTGGGCCACGGAGCACAGGCACTGGCCCAGCATGGTGACCCAGAAGAGATGCTGCTGGACACTGGCGCACTTGATCCAGGCGCCCAGGCAGTTGAGGCCGGAGCCCAGCAGGGCCGTGAGCCGCAGGCCTCTGGTGTCCAGCAGCCACGTGGCGGGGAAGATGAGGGGCACGTAGGCCAGCATGTACACCATGGACAGCCAGTCGATGTGCAGGGAGGAGACGCCATAGAAGCCCTCGAAAACATTGCTGATGATGCTGTATTGGATCCATTGAAAGGCGTTCACCAGCGAGTACAGGCTGAAGATCAGGAGCACCACAAAGCGCCGCGCAGAGAGCGCAGTCTGGGGCACCCGGGAGCCCTCGGCCCCGGGGGTCTCCTCCCCGGGGCCCGTAGGCAGCAGCCGGGTCTGGGTCTCCTCCTCTGGAGCCAGCGGAGTCTGCGGCCTGCCGAGGGATTCAGCGGCGGCCACGAGGCGGTCCCGAGACACTCCATTCAGGGTCAGGCAGCCGGCTTTCGGCCCGTTCTGCGGCTCCGCGCTCAGCTTTCCGGGGGGCTCGCCCCCCGGGACCAGGAGGTATCCATTCGCGGGCGGGTGCCCGGGTGCCACCGCTGCCCCCTCCTCATGGTCCAGCTTTGCCATGTCCCCGCGCTCCCCCGCGCCCCGGCCCTCCTCCCTGCACCCCCCGGCCCAGGACCCGAGGCCCTCCCTGCACCCCAACCGCAACCCCTTGGCCCACCGCTCATGCAACCCTTTCCCTGGCCGGGTGAGCCTGGGTGCAAGCCGTGAAACCCAGCCGGCGCTGCCGGAGGCCGCGGGCGAAGCAGAACTCCTCGCGCCCCTCCAGGCCGGCGGTCACCCTGCGCCAGGCCCCGCCCCAAGAACGTCGCCCGACCAGTCAGCGGGAGAGCCAATCGGGGCGCTTCTGTCCGGGATGAGGCGGGAGCAAATTTGCGGGGACTAGAGGAGGAAGGCGGGGCTGGAAGGTTAAGGCCCTGCGTTCACTCAGGTGGAGAGATGCAGTCACCTAGAGTTAACCGACCTGGGAAGAGGGCGGGAGGCGGTGCAGTGGGGGTGGGGAGGGTGAGCGGGAGGGTGGGAGGCGGCCCGAGCAACTCGGCACCTCGGAACTAGGAGCGAGGGGTTGGGAGAAACCGGGGAGACCAAGAGGTAGGCTTCGCCCTTTCCAGCCGGAGGGGCTCCCTAGGGCCAGGTCCACACTCGGGCAGAGGACGAATTTGGCCTCGCCCCAGCACAGCTGGCTGTCAAGATCGGACCCCGCCTTTAGAGCAGACAGGACCACGTTTCAGAAATTCGTGCCACCTCGGCAGAGGAAAAATACCAGAAAGCGTTTCAGTCCAAATGAAGAGATTCGTCAGAAATCCGCCCCTGGTGAAGTTGGAATCTCCCACCCCGCTGGTGACGGAGGCGGGTGAGACGGGTTGTGCCTGAGCAGACACTGTGACTCAACATTCTCGCTTGGACTTGAACCACCTCCTGTAGTTAGTACTTACTGGACACGCACATTCAGTGGGCTCTGGATTCCAGGTACCAAACTTGTTATGTGTGTTCCAGACACTGTCGTGCCCTAGGGAATGAAAGTTTCTGCTCTCAAGAGCACGTGTACGTAGCCTTGAGAGTCTTCTAGAGAAAATGTCCCGCCTGCTGCTACTTAGGAAACTAATTTTGAAACAAAACAAACCGAAAGACTCCAAAATATTCATTATTAAAGTGAAATTGAAACTCGGGGTATCTAACTATGGGTTTAATCTAAAAATGCTGCTATCTAGAAGCCTAAAACCTTCTGCATCTTCTTTTTAAGGCCTCTTAATATCATTATTGTGGTGATGTATATCCGATATATGCCTCAGATACATACCAGATGCCTCTCAGTACAGGGGAAATACTACATAATGCTAAACTTTAAGGAATATGTGCATTTTAATGTCTTCCTTGGCCACCCTATATAAATTGCCACATGCCACCAACCCCCACCCCCCTCCTTCTTAGTCCCCTTCCCTGCTTAATTTTTCTTCTTAGTGCTTACCACTATCTAAAATGTCCTATATTTTACTTATTTTTTTCTGGTTGTTTTCTCCCTCCCCACTAGAAGGTAAGCTCCATGAGGGCAAGTCTGAAAATTTATTGCTATTTCTTAAATGACTGCAGCTAACAAGCATTGAATTACTATTGAATATTTTAAATAATTACTTGCTTTGTAAATGAATCCATTTCTTTTTTAAAAACATGCAAATTTCCCCTGCAAATGATTTTCTAAACATGGATTAGATAATATTTCATATTATGAAGCTGTGTTCTCTGAATGAACAAACAACTAAATGTGGAATCTAAAGGACTTCAATCTTAGTTAAGAAGTTTGTTTTATGGGTTTCTGAAAAAGATACTGATCGTGGGCGCCTGGGTGGCTCGGTTGGTTAAGCAACTGCCTTCGGCTCAGGTCATGATCCTGGAGTCCCAGGATCGAGTTCCGCTTCGGGCTCCTTGCTCAGCAGGGAGTCTGCTTCTCCCTCTGACCCTCCCCGTCTCATGTGCTCTTTCTTTCTCATTCTCTCTCTCGAATAAATAAATAAAATCTTTAAAAAAAAAAAAAAGATACTGATCGCATTGCTTGATATTCCACACAACTTATTATTCAACATTCAGAAGCATTTTAAAATATCTTCATGTACCATGAAACTTTCTACATAGCTTGCAGAAAAGTTGTTTAGAAATGGAATCCAATGGGTAGAATTTTAAATGGACCTTTCTTTGCTTGTGCCAGTCATACCTCCATTCCAGATAGTCACAGTAATCATTCAGATATCTGCAAACTTCTCACCCGCTTCCTGAAACCAGAAACTGGCAGATTATATTAGGCCTCTCATTTCCCCATTAGCCAGTGTGTGTTGGCGATTGTCTTCTGCTAGATCTGAAGGATAACTTCCCTCTCTGCACAGAGGCAGCTTCCTGAATGTACTTCTGCAAGGAGGTCATTCTTTCTGATTGTGTAGGCTTCTTCTGTCTAGAGATAATTTGCCTTTTCTGTGTCCTTAGCAAGAAGGATGGGGTTGAGAGTCCTCTGGGTATCCTGGATAACAGTCAGCATCTAATTTCCCTCCACATTTTTACCAGCTGGTACCTATTCTACTTTCACCCACTTTGTCATTTGCCTTTCCTGCCCATGGCAAAGCTCTGTATCTGAAACGATCACCATCTATGCGGAGGAGCATAGCATCAAGGGGGTTTAGAGTAGTGGAGAAAAGCATATCTAGAGATAGGCTACCTGGATTTGAATCCCAACTTTAGTACTCACTAGCTGCCCAACCTTGGGCAAGTTACTCGGCTGTTTTATAAGAGTACATGCTATTATGAGTAATAAAGGAGTGAATGATGCCTGGCACATGGTTTAGACATTCTTAGTTACAGTTTTTAAGGTAGTTTATATAGTGGTCCAGGGTCTGGATCCAATTGGCCTGGATTCAAATCCTAGCTCTTTCACTTTCTAGCTGGATGATGTTGGACCAGTTACTCTGTGCCTCAGTTTCTACAACTAGAAAATGAAGACCATATTCTTCATGAAATTGTTGTGAGAAATAAATGGCTAATAAGTACAAAGTGCTTAAATAGTGCCTGACCTCTGATCTATAGTAATCAGTACTATACTCAGTAAACGTTACCCAAAGCTATTATCAACTCATGTCTGCCCTCGAAGTTATATCTTGTTCTCATGTTATCTTAGATTTGACTCCATCTTGCCCATTGAAGCTTGCTTGCATTGTCCTGGAGTTACTCCAAGCTCTCTCCGACTGAACTTATGATTTTAGAGCCCCTCTCTGTAAGGTACTCTGAGAATGTTAGTATACACAGTGGTGTATACTAACTACCCTTGGCCTAGCAAGAGGAAGATTTCTTATCAGAGGTGGTCAGCAGTTGAACAGACAATATCCAGGCAACAGATGCTATCTGTGTTGGACCAGGTGTGTTGTGGATAGGATGCCTGAATTCCATAGAAAATTGAACTATGTGGGGTGCCTGGGTGGCACATTTAGTTGAGCATCTGACTCTTGGTTTTGGCTCAGGTCGTGATCTTGGGGTTATGGGATCGAGCCCTGCTTTGGGCTCCATGATCAGTGGGGAGTCTGCTTGAGGATTCTCGTTCCCTCTCCCTCTGCCCCTCCCCCCCAAATAAATAAATCTTAAAAAAAGAAGAAAATTGAACTATGTGAGATTTAAGATTTCTTCTGACTCTAAATTTCTATGATATATGAAAAGTAAAATAAGATATTTCCAAAGAAAGGATTAGGCAAAATTCATATGCTTAGTTAGGCAAAATTCATATGCTTAGTTCGACAAAGTTCAATAAGTAAAGAATGGAGTACAGAAAGGGAAAAACCAGCAGTATCTCTTTGTAGTATCATTCCAGTCTCTTAACCTCGCCTTCTCTCTCTTGAAGCTTCAATGATAGATACTTATTAACCAGTTTAGGTATGAATCATACTTTATATCATGTTTAGAGGTATAAAACATAAACCTTACTCTCTGCCAGAGAGGACAGTACTGGGAGCATCACTTGGCTGGGAGTTGAGAGGAGATTGAGCTACATTATGGGTGTGGAATGCCAAGTCTGAGAGAGACTTGAATAAGTAACAGTTCAGCAATATGAGATCTGATATGGCATCCAGGAACCAAGGTCCAAGATGCTATCAAGTGTAATGTGGCTGTTCCTGAGCAAAGGTTTCCTGCATTCTAAGAGGATAAGATGTAAACCAGAACAATGCTACTAGATGTAAAATCCACCATGTATCATGGGGAGGGGGGTAGATTTTAGCAGCCTTGACTTCAGTTTACATCACTATTACTGTGCTCTGTCCACCTGAGTGGCCAGATCTCTGCTGTTGTACTCTGTGGAAGGATTAACTTGGGAATGGAGGAGTAGAGGAGGCTGGAAATCAGAATCCTCCCATGTGTACTTTATTTTCCCCATCAAGACATTGTGTGTGTATGTGTGTGTGTGTGTGTGTGTGTGTGTAACACTTGCAGACAAGAATCCCAGGGTTTTCTCTTCTGTGTATTTTTGTCTTGCTTCTTGAGTTCTTACAAAGAAACCAAATGGAAGGGATGGGGTGGGGAACTGAAATTTCCAACACTTTAATCAGTTGGTTTGTTCCCCTGGCAACCAACCCCATCCCTAGGTACTTTCCAAAAGTCATTTCATTAGTATTACAAGGAAATCATCACAGAAAAGTCCCAAGGTTTGAGAAGCTCTGTGCAAGAAACTTTGTTGTGAAAGCCAAATATATTGTTCTTACTATAAATCACAAAAACACATCAGCATTGTAGCTGGTATGTATTAGCAAGGCTAATTCCTGATCCCCAGGCTTGGGAGTGTGAGGTTGCTAATGTACCACCCCTTTGGTCAGAATTACCAAAGGAGGGCGCCTGGGTGGCTCAGTTGGTTAAGAATTACCCAAAGGAGCTGGGTGTGGCTGAATATGCAGACTGGAGGCCATACCAAACACAGAGGAGGACTAGCACAGGGAAGAAGAAATACACCACATTAGTCCACTCGGTGCCTCTAGTATGCCACATTCACATTTATCATGCAATCTGACTCATGATCTGCTCTCCATCTTCCCTTAATTTAGCTGAATCCCACCCATCCTTTATGGTCCAGGTCAGCTCAACTCCCATTCCCTTCCTTAATCTATCTCCATGATTGGAGCCCCTAGAGATACCATCCTCTTCTGACCATTAACACCCCTGGAGCTACTCACTGAACATTTCCTGGTGGTTACCTAGCTT